TGATGCTCACTCACCACGTTTTGGAGATAATGGCACCAATTCGTCCAGTAGGCCGTGGGAGTGACGCTTTGTTTTCCGTGGAACCTTCTGTTTGGGCCACTGTGACCCAAACTTCCCAAATACGGTACCTCTTCTGAACACAACTGGGGCAATAACGTCCAAGGACGCAAATATACAGAATATCGCCTGCCACGGGTTTCCTTATCATCTTTCCCTACCTTTGGAATGTGCGTTCGATGCGGAGCGGGAATATGGACGCGCCGGCGCCGATAAATGTACCAATGTTGTCGAAGAGCTGCCAAGCCAGGCTCATCAGGGAAACAAAGCTGGTCAGGACCGCTAATAGATTCTAGGCTGCGCGTACCGTCAAAACGACGCACGCCCCAGTACATAGTAAATTCAATTGGGTTCAACCCATAGAACTCTGCGTCGGTTCCCAGCACATGCTTTCGCACTTCCACTGGAATAACTGTATGTTTTCTAAGCTCTGGATCTGGCACTTTCATAGTAGAAGCTTTCTCTGTCTGCAAATACTCCCATCCATTGAAGGTCACGTGCTCATAGGTCCGAATAAACTCCGGGGTCAAAACATCTTGGTCCAGTGCATACATGGCCAGATACATATCTTCATTGGCGGAACGTCGAACCTCAAGGTGCGCGCAACGGCTTGCAAAAACATTGTCTTCAAGAACAGGACACATCTGATAAGAGCCTTCCTACATAACACCCACTTAGAAAATATGCTCTGTCGACAAGTAACGGTCTGAAAATAAAAATCAGACATGGTCCTGACCACGGTTCGATGCATTCGTTGACCAAGTGTCTTCTCCTCAAATGACTTTGCCGCATGCAATAAAGCACTCGCTGCCGTTGCTATTGCGTGTTTGTTTGCCGGTTGTACTTTGAAAACATAACCAGTAAAGTAGCCAGTTGCCAGTCGACCTGCTTGCATAGCTTTTGCTGTGATTCGTTTTTGCAGCTTCTTGTCTTCGACACAAGAATGTTGGCACAGCTTGAAGTCATGGGTATCAGCAGTGATGGGAACACGATAATTTGGTCGTGTGTCTGTGTTGAAGCGAAAGACAAAAGCAAACGCAGGGCGCGTTCCATTTGTCCACGGCGTGGTGCGACGTGGGAGAACCGCTCCCAGTTGGTTGCGGCGTCCTCGCACTGGCACACCAAGGACTCGCGCATTCCCTGGGCAAATGGCCCTCACAATGTCACGGTGCTTGGTCCCCATTGGGAAATCGTGTTTGCATTTTTGGGGGTCTGTTTTGCACCGGCAGCTCGCCAGTGGCTTCCAACTGCAGCCGTCTTTGCTGCGGTGATGCACGTGCTCTTGGACTCGACCATATACATATTGCACCTCCTTCAGGTATTCTTCGACGAATTTTTGTCCATCCTGTTCCTGCTGTATTTTATTAGTTGCATCACTAGCTCCTTCCTTCCAAAACTCTTCAGATGCCCCTTCTTCACCGTTCGGTTGGGGGGGAAGGAAGCACAACCGGTCATGTTCCACATCTTCAAATCGGTTCCACCAAGCATCGTACAATCTGTCAGCATCTACGTCAAAAGTCTGTTGATGAGGCGGTCGCTCCACGCGCACCCAATCATACCAACGAAATATGTCCTTCGCGTCCAAGGCTTTTTCCGACATGCTCTGAGCAATCTGATCCAACGCGTTGTATTGGTATATATTTGAAAGAAAGACTTCAAAGTGGAAATGCGGTGAAGAGTGGTACTGGAACTCGATCGCGCCACCCAACGCAACTGCCGCTCCAAACACTCCGCCTAATGGCAACATGTTGGAACCAAAGCGATCTTGACACGAGCAGTCTGGGCAACGCAAACACATACGCAGACCAAGCAACAGTGCCAACCGCGCCCGCACTTCAATTTGGAAAGCAGACATGACTGCGTGAGGATTCTGAGCTGCTAGTCTTGCTCGCATTGCGGCACTGGCAATAGGCAAGCTGCGCGCTGCAGTTTCTGGCTCTTCTAAGGGCGGAGCATCTTTACCGGCCCATCTTCTGGATTCTTGCGCAGCTGCAGTTTTAGTGTCCAACAACGGATCGGAACGACGAGCCCGGAACAGTCGGAGAACCAGAGCCGAGTGTTGTTCATTCAATGAGATTGTCGTGAAGACGCAGTCACGTGTTGCACATGACCCATGGCCTTCCGCGTCGATGGATTGCCTGGTAGATGGCTTGCCAAATAATTCACCTTCCGCGCAATGGCGCGTTCTGTGTCAGTCAGCCCATCAGCAAAAGGCAATTTGCTGGTGTCACCATTGATAGGTTTCTTTTTGCTGGCGCCTACCGTAAAAGTTCCCGACTGCAGAACTTGATACAGTTTCTGCATGGTCTGGATATGATCCATCGCCTCACGATTTTCGTGCTGGCAAACGATACCAGCCTATATTACCGTCTACACTTTAGATTGCTCTTTTGCACAGCTACTTCGCCCATGTCAGACCTAACCTGTGCTAGCATGTAGCTCAAAAATCGTTACAAAACGCATCAAAACCCTGCTTCCTGCCTCCATCCCACTGGCCCCAGGGCCTGCTCTGCGAAAACTCCCTACGGCAGCGGCCTTCGTCTCGATCATGTGCTTGTACCAGACACTCCGCACAATGGGTATGGCGGTCCAGCTATTGGCAATCTGCAGCTCCACACGTCGCGCAAACGTTCGCATAAATGCGGTTGGCGTCACTTCAGGACTGTTTGGACGTCGCCTCCATCGGTCTGTACGAGGGTAATCTGGTCTGGATACCATACGCGGAATCTCAAAGGGCATCACCTGACTGAAATACTTGGAATGCCATTGTGGTATAAAGTTTCTATCCAACTGCACCGTCATGTTCGCAAAGTGCACAATTGACTCTTTGCGCGCAAACTTGGCTAGGATCGCGGTCTGCACATCCGGAAACGGCGTGTCTGCAAAGGGATTGACGTCCAAAACTTGGCAGTGTCTCTCCGGATTACACAAAGCTGAAGCCAATCCATTCGAAGGTTTCTTGCCTGGCGTGCTAGCTTTTTCCTTCCAAAGGAAAGTTTCGTTCTCCACCACCTCCAAGAGACCTGCCCAACGTTGGAAGCTATGACACTGAACCCTTTTTTTTCAACCAAAATTATAAATCTTTTCCACTAGAAACCTTGGGCCTGCAGGCACCGAACCACGTCGTTCTTCCAGTGGCAAATGCGCTTCCGTTTCTGGGTAGTGGCGATCCAAGGCACTTTGCATTTGCTGACGCAGCGCCTCAGCCGGACCTCTCCCACGAAAAGCTTCATGCCCCCGGTGGATGAGCTCATACAATAGCAACAAGACTACTCCAGGTCTCACAAGCAGAGCCTCACATTGACCAACCAAAGGCCCCAATTCATTGGCCAAAGTAAACCGCACCAGGTATCGCAGACATTCTGGTGAACGTGGCAATTCTTGCATTTCCTTTTCCGTGGTTCGATCTCATAACTGTCGCAAGATGTCTTCCCAGGGCATGACAAAAGAACTGACGTAGCCGCGCATGGCTGTTCTCCAACGTTTCTGCCCTAATTTCTCTTGCAATAAATGTCCACGATCTCCTTCCACGTAAAAGATCGACGTCGTTGTCCAGATCGGTATTGCCACTAACGTCTCAATGAAACGGACTTCGTGTTTCACCACCACGGCGCTCATGTAGCCCCAGAAATTGTCGTTAGACAAAGCCATGGGAACCCCAACATGCGCCGGATCAGCTAAGTGCTGCCAGCACTCCGTACAGATGGGCACTTGACACCCGAAGCAGATATCGTCCAGGCTGTGTTGGCCGCAATTCACGACATCTTCAGGGCAGCACAGGACCTGAAGCTTCTTCCCGTCCTCGAACAGCAACTGTCGCACCCACACATCATCTTCTAAGTCTCTCGCATCCTGGAAAGCAGGTCCTTCACCATAGGCCCGTTTGAAATCCTCTAAGGCAAAATTCAGATGGAGAATCTGATCGCCCAAACGAAACAGGTCACCACCTAGGCGGTAGCTGATCTCGCTCTTTTCTGACAGCCTCACTTTAATCTTCTTGGCAGCACAACAAAAGCAGATCAACATTTCCACGGTCTCGCTCGCATATGCTTGTCTCATCAACGCAATGGTCCTCCGGTCAACGCTTGGACCAACGAGGCTCATGTTCTGTTGCTCTTGTTGTCGTATCCCAGCACAATACCACGCCATATTATCTTTGCATATGGCGCCTTCCGTCGCACAACAGTGACGACCTCCCGGCAAACAGTCTCCATGACTCTGACATAAATGATGCTGTAGCTCCTCTAAATCCGCACCAATCCAGCGACAGCATCGAAAGGCACAGTGAGCCAACGGCAATCTGATGCCAGAGTCCACATCGACCCAACTGCGCAGAGCTTCTGCGTCTGCTGGGTCCGCTGGAAACAAAGGCCGATCACGCAACATTGTCGCGATCTCTCGCACCTGCCTCAATTCCATGTCCTGCTCCGTCACAAAAGACAAATTTTTTCGGACACGCATTGGCAAGGCACACTCTTCGTCACTATCACTGCTCAACTCCTCCGCATTGTTTTCTCCGTCCTGCGCTTCTATATTTTCTCTTGCTTCTTTCCCAGACTCACATTCAACCTGCTGGTTGACATCGACTTTTTCACCATGCTCGTCGTCACTATCACTGCGCAACGCCTTCGCATGGGTCTCTTCATCCTGCGCTTGTCCATTTTCTCTGGCTTTTTCCCCAGCCTCAAATTCAACCTTCTGGTGGGCATCTACTTTTTCAATAAATTCCACCAGCTTTAACTGATCTTCCGCATTGCTTGCGCTGTCAAATGAAGCTACCATTGAGGCTAATGCACCCGCACACTCTTCCCAAAGTCTTTGCAAGTTGCTAGCAGCAATTTGATCGGCAGCATTTCTGGCACCTAATACGTCTAAGCAATCATAGTGACAACCGCCCAATACAACAACACACTGTCATAGCTTCTCCAGTCGGCAGCAGCGACTAAAGTCGTCATAGTTGAGGTGTATGTTGTCCGGTCGCACACACCCCGTTCCAGAAAAAGGCACATCGATCACCAAGACGCGCAAGCCGTTCTTTGCCAGCATCGCGACAATCTCCGGTGCGTCAGCAAAACAATCGGTGTCTAAGACTGCGTCGCGTCGGAGCAACGTTGCCAATTTGTCCAACACGTAACATTGAACCGCATCCAAACTGGCAAGTCTCTGATCCGAGCATTTCCGCCGGAGGCGGCTACGTCGTCTTTCTGTCTCGCTGTCTGTGTCGCCAACAATCACATGATACTCTTCGGCTGCCCATAACAGGGCCAACGCTAAGACATACAAACTCCAAGCAAGATCGCCCTGCTTTACATCAACTCTATCCATGCAGCAGTGTGCTAGAGCACGAAAGAAACAGAATCCATCTCCTGGTATTCGCTGGATCCGCACATCCTGCCCAAGAATCTGGCACATGTTCTCCCTCACCTCTTGCAAAATGTCATCGTGGCCCCGCCCTTCTGCCATGTTTGCGCAACAGCCACAGTTGCTCGCGCTACCCAGACAGAAGCACTCGGCTCCAAGAGCACAAGTTCCTGCGTCGGCCACCTACACCTGTTCCGTGACCAGCTTGCGCCTAGATCATCCTTGGCCTATCTCACGCTGTTTCCGTTACATGTGTCCGAACACGTTGTGGTCTCCTATATTCCTTTCCTACTGCATTCCTTGGCTGCAAGAGCACCAGGACCCGTTCCTGGAGCCAGATCGTGACACGTGCAGAAAATCCCTCGACCGTTACAGACGCTGCTATACGCTGGTCTTTGTTGCACAACACTCACCAGAGGGCAACGTCCCACCTTGTAGTCCTCTGCCTCTACACCTCTCGCCTTCTGCAGAACCCACAGCGACTGCTTCGAAAACATGACTACTGCTGCCAGCAACAAGCACAAACAAAAACAAAACATCTTCCCTAAACGTCTTCGCTCCTGAGCTGCCTTGCTTCGGTCCATCCCATGCCTGCGGCACAAAGACGCAGCTGCCCACCAATCCCCCGTTTTCGTGCCATATTTCACGTCTTCAACCGAAACAATCCATGCATCTCGAAATAAACACAACTTCTTGCATCACAGCGTCATCCCATACCCACATGCCTGCAGCACAAGAACCCGTTTCTGCAGCACTCTGCCTACGTTTCAAAAAATGGACCATTTCCTGCCTTGATGAAACCCATCTCAAAATGGCTGCAGTCTTTGAGCCCAAGCTTGTTTGAGAAGGAAAGCGAACCCTGCCTGGATCAACCATCCCACGCTGTTTGCATTGCATGTGTTCACCATGTGATCGTCTGCCATGTTCGTTTCATACTGCTAACACCTCCCGCCTACAGATCCTTGACCGGCTCTGCGGCATCAGCCCCAAAATGGCTGCGGTCTTTGAGCCCAAGCTTTTTTGAAAAGGAAAGGAAATTGCCAGGGTCAACCGTCCCATCGTGATACTTCCGGCAGTGGTGGCGGCCCTTCAGCGGCCACGATTACTTGAAAAGGCCCTTGAACTATCGAATACCACATCATCCCTTCCCCTGATGAGACCCATTCCAACATGCCTGCAGTCTTGTGCCCGAGCTTGCTTGCGGAACCCTGTGACTACGTACAACGAACTCTACAACCTGCACATCAACCTTACACTATCCAATGAAGGCGTTCCATTGCGTGTGTCCGAACAATATTCCTTTCATACTGTACCCCTTGGCTCCAAGAGCACAAGCACCCGTTCCAGATCGTCTCCCTTCCGAAAGCTTACCCGACACGCACAATCCCTTTTGAGTCCCCATTCAAATCCCTAAGATAAAATCTTCTGAAGCTGTTATCCTTCCTACGCTTTGTCTCTGCTTATCTCTGCTCCAGTTGAGCCTTATATTAGCGACGTTCCAGGCAATATGGAAGCTATGCCGTTCTGGGGCTGTGTTCGCAATATGGAAACTATGTCGGGCCACGTTAGGACAACCGTTACCGTTACTTGACCTTATCTCTACTTATCGCGACTTCCTTTCATACTGACTCCCTTGGCTCCAAGAGCACAAGACCCCCTTCCAGATCGTGTTCCTTACTGCCGGTAGCAGTCTTTTTGTTAAATCCCTATCTCGAAACATGACCGGGAGGGGATCCCTTCCGGGGCTATGTTCGGTGGAAATATTGTCTCCTTCCATGCGGTGCGGGCGGTTATCGTCGCGAAGCGACGTGAATTACTTTACTTCGAGTGGTCCCCACCGTAACATTTCAATCTGACAAATTTTATGGCACGTATTGAAATCCTTTTGGCATTCTTTCTGGCATATCTCCTGACATTTTTTGTGGCAGCTGTTCTTTCTGCATGTATCTGGCGCATCTTCTGACATTCTTTCGATTGACATTATTTTTTGCATAATTTCCGGCATATCTTTTGACATTCTTTCTCGCATCTTTTCTGGCATGTTTTCTGGCACGTCTTCTGACATTCTATCCGGCATATCGTCTGACATTCTTTCCTGCATCTCTTTTGGCATTCATTCTGGATTTCTATCCGGCATATCAGCATCTTTGCTGACATTCTTTCTGGCATATCTTCTGATATTCTTTCTGGTGTGTCTTCTGACATTCTCTGTCGCGTATCTTTGGACATTCTCTGTCACGTATCTTCTGACATTCTTTCTGGCATATTTTCTGACAGTTTCCTGATTTTCTTTCTGGCACATCTGCTGACATTCCCTCTGGCAATCTATCTGGCATATCTTCTGACACTCTTTCTGACATTCTGTCTGGCATATCTTTTGACATTCTTTCTGACATTCTATTTGGCATGTTTTCTGCATATCTTCTGACATTCTTTCTGAAATTCTTTCTGTTGAGGTCCTGCTGGAAACACTGCCAGCTGAAGCTCGCGGTTGAGGTCCGGCGGGGAACACTGCCAGCCGGAGCTTGCGGTTGAGGTCCGGCGGGGAACACTGCCACGCGACCCGGCGGGGAACACTACCAACGAGGAGGAGGACTGAGGAGGAGGACGAGGAGGACGCCAGCTGACATAAAATCTAACAACCCTCACCTGACAGGTGGGGAACTAACAAGAATAAGTAGAAGGACTGCAGAAAATGCCTCCGAAAGCCGTTGGCTTTTCTCCTGGAAATGCCAAAGGTAGGACGGCTGCATGAAACCATAGTACACACCCATACGCATCCTCGGACTCTTTGGCTTGGCATATCTCACTCGGATTTTTCTGTCAAGCAGTCTACACGAAAGGAAAGTCGATCTTTTAATTAACCTTAGCCCTTGCAAGTCTGCTTGGTGTGCTCAGGATCAGGCAAGGTGAGCAAAAAGACCTAAGCAAATATTTCGGGCTCTTAGAGCCTCTCAGTTTCTCACAAAACAGTAATAATCGATCTAAAGAATGAGCACATTCAGCTGCTGATCTATATATATAGGTCGTGTGGGAGTCAGTGCTGAGGTGCTGACGCCGTTCAGAAACAACGGACCAGCCTCCGTCTCAAACATTCGTTCGAACAGGCCATTGATTGGACCTGACCTGAAGAAAACAACAAAATGGAAAGGAGTTGGAGAGCTGAAAGCAGAAGAATGCAGATGGAGGTTGAACAGAGAATGGAGGAGAAATCAAGAAGAAACGGAATCGGAAGCCCGTTTTTTGACGCCTGAAGTGCATGATGTGATTGGCTGAGTAAAGCACGCAGCGCACATGTACCATAACGTTCACTTGATGTTTGGAATGTGACAGACATCTGCAAAACATTCGAAAAAGGCTTTGATAGCAAGCATGGCCAGGAGCTAAGGCTGCAAGCAGGACAAATTGGATCTCTGTCCAATACATTGGAGCCTTAACTTGCCAATGCACAAATTTGAAATAAGTGCAATTGAGCAATGCAGTACCTAACAGGGCCACAATGTTCCACAACAAGCATTGGCTGGTTGTCCAATGAGACCAAGCTGCATCAAGATCTGTGAGGAAAAGTGGAGATCCAGCGAGCAACGCTCCACCGGAGCTTGGCAATGCCCTGAAGGTGTTGCGTAAAAACCATAGCTGGAAAGGCTTGAAAAGTTAAAAGTGTAGCTGGAGCTTTGGAACCTCTTTTGATCGTTTAGGATTGACAGCAAGGTTGCTGGCTTAAAGCAAGGTTTTCCGCAAATGAAGATAACAAATATCGTGGGTTCAAGCCTTGCACTTGTTTCTGTGTTCATTCTGCTTGTCTTTGTCAGTTTGGGGCTTGGGCGTGTGTGTGTGTGTGTACTGCCTCTAGAGTAATCTCTAAAACTGTGGTAAAGTTGGAAAACATGCAAAAAGTCACTGTGAGGTCACTTCCTTTGCATTCAAGGCGGAAGAATCAAAAGACTGTGCACTTCACATTGCACACTTACAACAAAGCCCTTGCTCTTCTACCGGAGAAAGACCTGGCTCTAAGATCCAGTCCCTGACGTCGTGTCCTCCTGTCCCTGGCCGCAACTTCCCAGCTCAAGGATTCAGCAACATATTCAACCATAAGAGAAAAGCTATTTGAATTCTTCCCTATGATCGGTAAGACTACTTGCTCAAACATACGCACAGAGAGTCGCAGTCTTCATTCAAGCAATTCAAGCACGCAAAGAACTGCATCCTCAGCAAAAATTTTGGCTTCGTGGTTGACATAAAGCGCCCTTTTCTGTTGCGTAGAGTTTTCTGCTCTTTGAACAAAGCCCTTCAGCCTTCACAAGACATACTGCCGGCCGGTGTGCACGTACAGGAGACGTGGCAAGGCCGCGGCCTAAATCGGTTCCGGGACTACGCTCCACAAAATTGATCCGTCGACCTGTCTGGAAGCCGAACGGCCGGTAGTGTGGGGTAGTCCAGCCAGGACACCCCGACAGGAGGGTCCAGGTACTATAGTACTTAAGGATGTATATTCAGGACCAGTCCGTCGTCACCTTTCATTTGCCTAAGGTCTCTGCAAAGGGAGCGGCGAGCTGCCTTGTCCAACCATGCAACAAAGCAACAAGCGGAGCACACACATATCACTTCACTCGATATCACAAGATCTTGCCTGCGCAAAGGGACGGAGCAACGACATTAGGCCTTGGGAGGACAAGTGTGGGACTTGCCTTGTCCAGTTTAAAAACTTTGACAGCGAGTCCAGAAAAATGTTGTGTTCTTCCTTAGGCTTCGGCTCTTGACAGCGAGGCAGCTTCAGCGCTCTATTTTGAGCCAAGCTACAAATCCATAAATGATAAATATACTCTTAACTCAGCTGGGTATTCTATATACATCCAATCCAATCCTGCTGCTAATCGGTTTAACACCAAAGTTGAAGAACTTGAACTTGGAACCTGGACGATCCTGGACATTCTAATGGATCCAAGCTTCCGGAACAGCCAGATTGAAAATCTTGTCAGGCAGCATCAAGTGCACACGTATGGACGTACAAAAAGACTCACAAAGGTTCCAAAACTAAACTAACATAGAAAACAATATGTACATATCATATAATATGTATATGCATGCAGCAGCTGCATACA